GTATCTGTTCAAAATCTGAAATTAACCTCTTCAGAACCTGTTCAAAATCTATTCAAAACCGCATTAACCTGTTCAGAACCTGTTCAAAACCTATTCAAAACCAGATTAACATGTTCATAATCTGAAATACAAAATCTGAAATTAACCTGTTCAGAATCTGTTCAAAATCTGAAATTAACCTCTTCAGAACCTGTTCAAAATCTATTCAAAACCGCATTAACCTGTTCAGAACCTGTTCAAAACCTGTTCAAAACCAAATATAATCTGTTCCGAATCTGTTCAAAACCTATTTAGAATCAAATATAACCTGTTCCGAATTTGTTCAAAACCTATTCGCCATTCCTGATTCACTGAAAGATGAGCTTCCAATTTTGTCCACCATTTGCATGCACTCTCTTGTGTCCCATCCGTACAAGGAAAATAGTAGGATTCAGCTTGCAGCACCTTATGATACATAATAACAAAATATCATTAATAAGTTCAAACATAATGTAATGAACACCATACAAAAAATTGTACTGGACCATGAAACACATACTCGCTCGTACGTATTGTCTTCCATCCCATTCGTACAACCGAAATTCAACTTATGAGGTTCACATTGACCCATCTTACGACCCTATAGTAACACACATTGGTGAAAAAGTTTGACAAAAATAAATTCAAGTCTTTTACATACAAGCAGAAAATGAAATTTATACCTGGACTAAAAATTTATACTTTCCATAAACCTCTTGCTTGCTTGGTGATTATTAGCACGTTGGCATCTAAGATGGGGAAACCATGCCATTGAAAGAAGCTTTAAACTGATAAAACCTCCTTCAAACCTTCTCTTTCAGAGTCACATTGATGATTCCTATTGGAGATTTAGGTCGATAATGTTCATCCGTATCCACCTCTTCAATTTCCTGGTAAGCACATTGCAGGACATGTGTTCAAACATCAATAAAGAATATGATTTAATGACTTGAAAACTAAAAGCATGGCATATTTTTCCCCCATTAACTTAACATGATCCAACTGGCTTGACATAGTGCCATTTGACTATATTAACGACGAATGCAAGCATCTTTTCTTTTTTTTTTTTGTGGCCCAATGTAATGGGCTAAGACGATTGGGGAGCCACCACCACACCACCAAAAAAAACTTTACTAGTTTATCGAGATAACAATCTCAACTTAATATATAAAAGATTTATATAACAACAAATGTGCTATAGCCTCCTTTTTTTTAGATCAGATACAGTCATTAGAGTACTACAAGCAGCTGCCTTGTGTTGAATCATCATGAATCCATGTCAATTTATCAGCATAAAAGGAGATGGTCCTATTACATTGTCTCAAGAATGTGGTAGTCTCAATCCTATGATACAATCATTCATTGCCAAAACAAATAAAAATTGCCATCATATTCTTCATGAAAAAGTTTGAGAATAAATATGATTATGGTTCATATGTCCAGAAAGAATAGACTCTCAATTGCTCCTAGCATGCAACAACTTTAAGTAAAACATCCACATGCTCATAGTTCACAAAAATCAGAGAGAAATAGAGCAAAAGGCTTATAACCTGAACAACATCCTCTCTCTTAATGACCCGCCCAAACACAATCAGCTTCTCATTTAGATCAGGGATTGGTGCAGCTGTAATAAAAAGCTCGAATCCCTCTCTGTCATGTTTAGCCTTTGTAGTACCAAGCATAAACGCCTCATGCTTCATGCTGGATGAAAATCACAAATTCAGTAACCAGGATAGAATAAGAAACTACAGAGGTAAAAAGGGAACTCCACAGGTTGGGTCAACAGGAGGGCAAACCTTGTTTCAAGTTGGTTGTTATGCTTTACTTTCAAAGTCCAATCATCTGTAGCTCCAGGTATATCAGAATTACCTCCTTGAATCACAAAGTTCTTTATTACATGGTGAAAAGGCATCCCCTTGAAGTGCCCCCTCTGACTAAAAAATCGTTTCAATTTAAAACTTCAGTATATGTACAAAGTCAAAAATTATCCCCCCAGGTGGAAGGCTTGCGTGGAGACTACCTACACCATTTTCAAGTGATGTATTACATAAAGATGATGCACTAAGCATATGCAATAATTGAACTACTTCTTTAGTGCAAAGATCAAATTGATGATATGTGTTTTGATTATACACTTGCAAGCATCAGATTGCCCAACCAAATTAAAGTTTCCATAGCTTTGCTTGACTGAAGGCAAAGCTTGAGGTTCAAGTAAAATGATAGATTCCAAAAAAAATATGTGATGAAATGTTGGAGAAGCATAAAGACCACAAAAACACTAAACCCTCTCATCTCACTGCTGTTAACGTGTCTAAAGAACCACTCAAGTGATTAACTATGTACAAGGAAGAAAGTGCAGTAAGCAAATAAGTAAATAAGGATTTGGGAAACAAACAAGGTCAGCCATGTGAACAATGAAAATAAGAATCCACAACAACGGATCGAAATATAATAGAGTTGAGTCCAGTACCCACCATAAGTCAATAAATGCATCAACCACCTCAGGAGAGCCTTCTTTGTATAACTCGATTGTTATTGACCCTTTTGAGGTATTTAAAATCTGTTAAAACAGGAAAAACAAAAAAATATACAAGTATATCAATAGACAATAAACAATAAAATTTTGAGAAGACTCTCCAAAAGAACTGACACCCCTGCATGTCCCAATAAAAAGAAAAAAGATAAATGGACATTATGCGAAAACAACAAACAGAGAAATGGAGAACTAAATGAAACTTTATTAACAAAACAGTAGCTCCCTGCCACATATTGGTATCTAAACTAAAGCCTGTAGCATCCTCTGAACTGACCAATAAGTGAAATGATTCCTCAGGAGCAGATTAAATCTAAAAGCAATACCTAATATAGTGGATCGACATTTAAAATAAGAACAAAATAAAAGCAATTTACAATGACTAGGATATAAAGAAACTCACAACATATCCGGGGACATCAGATTTCTTTCCATCTGCAAAAGCATCGTCACGCTGCAGCACACACAGAACCAAATACGAAGAGAAAGAATAAAGAAATAGTGATGGTCACTTGAAAGGAATTTGTTCAAACCTCAATAGCATTAACACTGTATAATAGACAAACACAAACACACACACACAAAGTAAGATAAACTTAATAAATCTTTAATTGTCATTATAAGTCGTCATTATGACTTAAAAGGCAAAGAGAGAAGAAGATATCAGCAATTTGTAAGTCTTTCTAATCAATAACCAACACTTATGCTCGCGAAAGGTACAACAACAACAACAATACACAGGTAACAACATTATCCAGAAAAGAGTACCTCAATAACTGATAACCGATGCTCTGTTTGAATTATTGACCTAAACACAAGTTAGCAGATAAAAGTTAAACTTAAAAGCCATATAAAGCCCTCTTTGGTCTATAAAATAATGATTATTTCAAGTGGTTCTATTTTGTTACTAAATAAATGCAGATACCACTGCAACAGACCTCCTGCAATATTTCAAAACACCAGGTCCAGGATTAAATTAAAATTCTTTTTATCACTTATTAAATACATGGGTTGTTGCTAAATTTAGAATTCAGAAATCATTCCAAGAAAACAGATATAGGTCTTTCACCAAACCCACAAGATTCAAAACATATGAATTAATAATCAAACTAAAAATTAAATTCGGTTAACAAGATACAAGGTGTCATGCTAGTCCCTCTGAATCCCAATTTATCAAAATAACAAGTATTTATTCATCAAAGAAGATTCCAACAAACCTCTGAATCCAATGTCTATAACTAGCAAACAGGAAAAACACCATCACAACTATAATTAAGCTGTATAAAATAACTGTAGTGGCACCGATACGACTTGGACCCTTCTTCTTGCTTTGTTGTAGCAGAGCTTGAGGTTTAATCCTTGCCATGATGTATAAGCCTCAACTCCCAAGGACTACAAAATTCCAGGATCCAGCACTCAGTTCCAAATGTATATAACCAAACACCATTTAAAGGAACTCCATAACATATAAATCAAACAGCCAGGTTTTGGATCCAATCTGAACTTTCATAGAACTTCATTGGTATCTTTGAATAAGAAACAAACACAATAGCCAGAATTCAAGAGGGTCCAAAGTTAGAGATACACAGATAAGTGAGAAAAATAAAAACTTCAGATTTTTTTTTGAAGTTTGATCTACAACCTCACACTAACAATCGATTAGATAGCTATGAAGTAACAAAAAATTACATAGAAAAGTAAATATTCATTCTTTACAATTACGGTTTTGAAATCAAAGCCCCAATGGCACATTTAGATGAAGCTTAGAGTTAGCAACAAACCTGAACTACGGAAAAGAGTTCTCGGAAAAATTCGATTCGACTGGAAGGGAAGGGAAAAGACGATGACTAGGTCTTTGGTCATAAACCCATGGTGGAGACGTCCAGAGAGTGAGAGCTTGTGAAGAAGATGTCGACATGGCTGAAGCTCGGATCGCCGACGAGGCTGGTGATCCTTGGAAGCTTCGGCTATGGCGGAAGAGAAGAGGGAAGAGAAGAGGGAGGAGAAGAGCCAACAAGAGGGCCAAACATGACTGATTCAATTTTGTTTCCCCTTCTAACCGGCTACACCGGTCGCCTATTTGAGAGTTAAATTATTTAAGTAATTTAGTTATGACTTGATTATGAGATAGTATGGTATAAATAAATAACTGAATATAACTAAGTTATGAGTCAATATGATAGTGGTTATGATTAATATGGTATTGGTTATGACATAAAATCATATAAGTTCATAACTAAATGTATGGTACATCTGTTTTTAAGCAAAAACTCTACTCTACCTGCATCACTGATCTTCCTGATGGCCATATTCAGAGTGTCAGCAATGTAGATATTTCCTCTGTGATCTACAGTAATCCCTTTTGGGTGATTCATCCTAGCTTCTCTTGGCTTTCCATCCACAAGCCCCGAATACCCATCAGGTGATCCAGCAATCAGCTTGGGCCGGCTATCTGCACACAGCGGTAGAGGAAGCAAGAAACTTTAGCCATAATGCATATCTGAATCGTGCTTCTTTGTATGAACTTAAAAAGGAAAAAGAAGAGAGGATTCAAAGATATGTATCACAGCTGGTAGTTCATGTTCCTTTTTTCAATTTCAATGATACATATTCTCTTTTTTTTTCTTTTTTTCTTTTTTTGAAACTTCAAAATTTTATTTTTGTCTAACTTGATTCTAATTAATTTTTTTGTTTGTTTTGTTTTGAAAAACAACTTTTCAAAACATAACTAAATCTTAATATAATTTATTTTTATGCAACATAACTATGACATTTTTTTATGGTATTTTATTTTGAAAGTAAATTGAGAAAAAATTACAAAAATCAAGGGCCAAAGTAGGAAGAAAAAGTACTTTATGGCCAAAGTGAAAAAATTGTGAAACTTAAGAAGATTAAGGGTTTGTTTTGCATGTGTTTAGCACACATTATCTTATTTGGGTCATATCACCTCTTTATTTTGCTACATATCTTTTCATAAAAAGTCAAAAAGTGCACAATAAGCAAACCCCGAACAACTCCTAAAGTGTAATTTATCAATTTTTATATCATGTGACTGTCAATATAATATATTTTATCCAATTTTAAATAGAAGTTTGTTTTAAGAGTAAAAAATTCAAACGTTTAGGATTGAAGTGAAAAAAAAATTAAAAAACTAAAATAAAAAAAAATGAAATTTAAGATAAGTAAAGTGTAATTTACCATTGAGAAAATTAGTCTGAGGTCCCTCTCCTATTTTTATTAATGGAAGAGATCCATAATATTATTTTATGATGTCTAAGGTCCCTCAACCCCACACTCAGGTATTACAAAGAAATTTGATATATCTCACAGCTTCAAACCATTCTACAAAACAGAGTGAAAAGGTCTAGTGTATTCTTATACAAGTTATGCATTATTTGGTTTACTGGATTGATATGGAAATGAAATGGAGTTATCATTCCTTAAGTTTCTCTATGGAATGATAATTCTTTTACAATAATGAATTGTAATTTTATTTACAATATAATTTTAATTATTTTTTATTCAACCAAACATATAAATGAATATTTTAATGAAATAATTTCATTCCAATGAACCACTCATTCCTTAAAAGATATTAAGAATTCCCAGAAATGCACAGTTCAAAGAATAAAATGAGTGGGTTCATTCAGAACATTGCTGACTTTTATTCGTAAAACTTCACATACCTAATACTCATTTTGCAAATTTCATTGGGTTCACATGAACCCTCTTTGTTGACGTGCCGTCGCCCCTGCTTGCCCATATAGATTTTCATACTTACTTTGAGGAAGAAATGGTGATTCAAATTCCCATCAAAATTAATTTCTTACTATTAATTTCCAAGAGATATTTCCAAGAAATGGTTAGGGTTTTCAAATCAAAAGCCCTAATGTAAATGAAGTTTAGAGTTAGAAACAAACCTGAGCTATAGAAAATATCTCTTGGAAATATTCGATTAGAATGGAAGAAACTCTGGTTCTTGACGTCAAGACAGTGAGAGGTTAGGAAGAAAGATGTCTACACCGAGAGAATGGTGGCCCCGACGCCGACGGGGCTGGTGGTCTTCGGCAATGGCTGAAGCTTCGGCTATGGTGGAAGAGGGGAGGGAGGAGAAGAGAAGAGCAACAGCACGAGCCAGAGAGGGAGACCAACTGACTTCCGACTGTTGGACTACTCTGATCTTTTGCTCTGTTTGGTAACCGGTTACACAAGTTGCCTAATTTGAGAGTCAAATTATTTAAATATCTTAGTTATGACATATGACCCTGGTCTATGAGTAAATACTGGTATACAGTAATAATTGAACATAACTAAGTATGACTAATTATGAGTAGTTATGACTAATATGGTATTGATTATATGTAAAAATCATAATAAGTTCATAACTAAATGTATAATCATCTAAATGTACCAATGCATCACCCTCTTTGCCATAGCAACTATCTCACAGGATTAATCCCTGCCTCTATAGGGATACTTGAGTAGCTTAAAGTACCCGTTTATATACCTCAATTCCAACAAAACTCTCTGGACATATTCCTTCAATATTGGGAATTTGAGGAAAGCCTCACAAGGCTTGGTTGTTCTTATTTTCAAAATCAGTTAACTGGTACCATCCCTCCTGATTGAATAATCTCCTTTTTGTTGGATTTGGCGTATCTCTCAAAACGAAGCCTTACTGGCCATTTAACCACGAGAATATGCTCCGGTGGTTTATAAGACTTTGGCGCCATGACAACCATAATCCAAGGCCTAATTCCTAAAAGCTTGACACAAAACTGCACTAAATCTATATACAGTTAGGGCTTCAAAGAACCGGAACTCACTGGAAATTTATCCCGAAAGATTTGGTACGTACCCTTGCATTGAAATTACATTGATCTGAGTTACACATAAATTTATGCCAGCCTTTCAGAAAAAATGGGGTGGAGTCTCGTGGTCTGACAAAATATGCTTTAGAATCTCCAACAATAAACATTTCGGGAGGCATACCTCTTGCTTCGCAGAGGCCCAACCACATTTGTGTGTACTTGACGCTCTCTTTCCAACAACTAGTTGGGGAGATTCCAATAAAATTGGCAAGTTTGAATTCGTTGTTTCATACTCAGTCTAAGTGTAACAAACTTTCAGGAAAAATTCCAATTGGAAAGTTTCCAAAGCTATATGAGTTGGAACACCTTAACTGTGCGCAGCAAATGATTTAAGTGTCCAATTCCCAAGCAATAGGTAGATTTGCACGAAACTATTGAAACTTGAATTTAAGCAAAATTAATCTTGGGGAAGGTATTCCCATTTGAATCTAGGTAATTTCATTCACTCAAAGTCTTGATCTCAGCCGAACCTACTGACAGGTTTGAGAATTCACAAAAACTTTAGCATTGAAAAGCCTTGGAAATATTGAATTTCCAATGAACTCCGCGGCTCCATCCCAATCCCACTCTGGAATGGAATGTTAAGTTTGACATCGGTCGCGACATATCCTACAACCAGTTGGAGGGTCTCTTCCTAACATCAAAGCCTTCGCAGAAATTCAATTTGAAGCACTAAGAGGGAATTTAAAGGTTTGGTGTGGCAACCACAGATGCAGGTTTTGAAGACTTGCGTCACTTTAACAAGACAGTTGGAAACAAAGGGCAACAAAGCTATTGTTGGATTTTACTTCATTTTTTGTCATTTTATTTATCTTTTGTTGCGGTTGTCGTGTTGTGTCTTCCACTCTAGAGTGAGGACAAGAAACGGAGCTTAGAGGAGCAAACAATCAAATTTGTCTTTCCAGTACTGGAGCTATGATGGAAAATTGGTGTACAACAACAATCATTTGATGCAAACAAATAGAATTCAACTCCGATCATTGCATTGGGAGGGAGGATTTGGTGTTGTTTTATAAAGCTCAACTTACTAGTGGTCAATTTCTTGCGTTGTTGAAGAATTTGAAGTATCACAGGCGCGGTGAGTTGGCTCATTTGAAAAGTTTTGAAGTGAGGATCCGTGCATTAGACAAGAAATACGACATCTTAATATCTGTGAAGCTTTATGGTTTTTGTTCACACCATCACTTCATTTTTGGTTATGAGTATTACTCTGGAAAGGGGAAGCTTGAAAAAGATACCTAAGCTAATGAGAAGAAGCTTGTGGATTTTGAATGCGATTAAGAGGGTCAATGTTTATTAAAGGTGTGGGCAAATGGTTTGTCTATATGCACCATGAATGTTCGCCTCCGATTATTCCATCCGGGCATATCTAGCAAGAATGTTTTGTTAGATGGAGGAATATGTTAGCTCACATTTCAGATTTTGGCACAGCTAGATTTGTACACAGCGCCGAATTCCATACTATTGGACTTCATTTTGCAGGGACCTTTGGATATGCTGCCCCAGGTATATAGTTTTTGTTGGCAATGAATTTATCTGAGCTTCTACTCACTGCAATTAAGCAGTTTTATTTCAGTTATTTATTAATGGACATGTTGAAAGATTGTAAGCTTTCCACATGGATGAATTAATATGGTCCATTTTTCTAATTATATGTTTACAGATGTCTGATAAGCTAATTTTTTCCATGGATGATCTCTTTTGGGTGAGCCCTATTTAGATGCAAGCAGTTTGGAATCACGCGAATGGCTTTGACGTGGGCCTACAATGAGGCCAATTGACCCTCTCCAGTCGATTAAGGGACTAAAAAGTTGTGCTTTCAGTTTATATTCCAAATGCTAATCAATGATTATTGATATTTGAATCTTAGCATTAGCATTTGGCAATTTATCCATCAGTTCCTTAAATTTCCTTGAACTGAAGCTGCAATCTATGAACTCACCCCATAAATCAATGCTTGTACTCATGGTGGCATGTTATGTTTATCAATTTTTGATAATAATCTAACTTCAAGTTTCAAAAACAGAGCATCATGGCCAACATTTTATTTATTATTTATTACATTATCATTGTTGTTAACTATTATTTAATTTATTTATTATATTTATCTAATTATATATTTTTTTTTTGTAGAACTTGCGTTACATGGTGAAGTGAAGATGAGAATGTGATGTTTATAGTTTGGAGTGCTGACATTGGAAGTGATTATGGGGAACCATCCAGGCAGTCTCATCACTTCTCTTGCCATCAATTCATCACCATCATGGTCAAACAATTGCCGATAGTTATTACTGAAGGAATGTTTTGGACCAACGCCTACCCACCACCCAGGAAATTCATTGATGGTAAAGTGGTTTTTTATGGTCAAGCTAGCATTGTTGTGTTTGCATATTAGTCCAAAATTGCGACCCCCTGAAACAAGTTTCTGCAGATCTATCAAAAGAAAAACCACCTCCTTCAAAATCAATTCTACAAGATTACTGTTGGAGAATTGTTTGATGTATCACAACAAATCAACGTTTTGCACTGCCGCCCCTTGTAATTGTATTCTTTTCTTCTTCTTTTTCAGACTTTATTTTGACTTGTTTCTTTTGCTTTCTTCCGATGATATAAATAATTTCAACATGCCCATATTGTGATTCTTGTAGTGACTATGCCGCTACGAAAATTCCTTAAATCGATTAAGTCTCATGCGCGACCCACTAGGCTAGCTACCTCCACTGTTGGCCTAAAACAAAATCTTCAGTTGGAGGCTTTTAATATTTTAAAAATATTCATTTAAATTGACATCTTAGACTTCTAAAAGCCCTCTATCATTCCAATTGGACTTTGTTTGCAGGAACGTTGGACTTTTCTTCAAATCACAAGCAATTTCTTAACAACTCCCTCCCCCCCCCCCCCACCACCCACCATTTTATAGCATGGTCTTCCTAAATTCAGTATGCAAAAGCTTTTATTCTATTCTTTCTTAATTTTCTATGAACAACTGTCTTTTCATTTACCTTTTTATCCCTTTATTTTTCTTTCGCTATCTGTTTTCTTTCTTTTTTTTTTTTTTATGACAGAAACTTGCTTACACAATGAAGTGGAATAAGAGGTTGGATGTTTCATAGCTTTGGAGTTTACACTGGAAGTGTTTAATGGGAAGATCCGGGCAATCTCTCATCTCTTCTCTTTCCACACCGCCCACTATTTATGGTATATTGTTGATGTATATTTGTTGAAATTAAACAATAAATTCCGCCTCCCACCTCCCTAGGACTCATGTTGGAAAAAGAAGTGGTCCTTGTTGCAAAATTAGCATTGCATGTTTTGCACATAGACTTACAAGTGCTGACCAACAATGCCAAAATTTCTATGCACTATCAAACAAGAGGCCTCCTCTGCTGAATCCATTCCACTTGATTCATTGGACAACTCCATTGATTGTCAAACTGTTTTGACATCCTGGGCATTGTCGTTTTTCCTTTATTAGTTATATGTCATTGTTGTCTCATTTTTGCTTGAAATATTGATTTTTCACTATTTTTGTTATCTTTTTTCTACCATTTCTGTGTTCAAAAGTCAAAAGAGACACTGATCATACTGTTTGAAAAAAAAAAACTTGTTTCCCAAGAGAAGGCTAACTTTCGTTTTTAGAGAACTGATGAGAGTACCCCCTTTTCCATTTTCCTTTAATTGTAGCATTTTTTTTATGTACTTTTTAGTGAATCAAAGTGATAATTTGATTCAGCCGTGCTGTGTTTGGTTGGGGGAACATTTAAGGAGGGATTTGGAAGGGAAATGAAAAGGTAGTTGAAAATGTGAATAAAACATACCTATATTTCACTTAGTTGCACCACATTTTCCTTTCCTTTTTTCCTTTCCAAATCTCTTTAAAATCATTCCCCAACCAACACATGACCTCAATAACAAAGATCAGGAATGAAAAAAAATGATTGCATTAATATGGGAAGGATTGTAAACTAAATACAAAACAGTTTATAAAAAAATATGAAAAAAGAATTTACCCTTCATTGTTCTCTGCCTTTTCCCCTATCCTGTCTTCCCCTTCAAAAACCATAATTTGAAAAGAATAAAATAATAAAAACCTGAAAATCTTATTTTATATGCCTGAAGGGTTATCATTTAGTTATGACTGAGGAGGAAGGAATTGTCGTGCCAAAGGCTTCTCCATACCATGCCGCCAGACCGTAAATAACCCAATTATGGTGGGCTAGTATGTGATCCTAGTTTTTTGTTAGGAATACATAAAACTAAATGTAGAATATGGATTGACTGAGGTTTTTCATTAGTGATTTTAGTTTCTTTATTCTAATATATGTGTTTATTTTACTT